AAAAAATTTAATTTTTATTTACAGATTAGGAGCACTAAAACTTTGGTTACTGTGGTTCTATAGTGACTTCTGGATTACTGTATTTTTCAGAATATAAGACACACCTTTTTCCCTCAAAAAAGAGACTAAAAATCTGGGTGCATCTTATACACTGAATACAGCATTTCTTGCATTCCAAAACTCTGCCCCTTTACCAAAATGACCATGCATAGCTTGTAGAAGCTTTCAGGGAGCTCCTGGGGGCTGGGGAGGGCAGAAATGAGCAAAAAACAGCCCATTTTTTGCTCAATTTTTATCCCCAGCCCCCAAGAGCACTCTATAAGCTTCCTAAAGGCTATCCATACCCTTTTTAAAAAAAATGAAAAACGGGCCTCTTTTTTGCTCGTTTTTGCCCCCTCCCAGGCCTCCAGAAGCACTCTGCAAGCCCCCTAAAGGCTATTGCTGGCTTTTGGGGGGGGGGAGGGGACGGGCCATTTTTGGGTGGTTTGCAGAGTGCAAAAAGTTTTTTTTTTAATTTGGATCTTCAAAACCTTGGTGCATCTTAAACTCTGAAATATATGGTAAATACAGATGTGTACAACTCCAGGAATAAGTGATTGACTCCAAGCTTGCTTAAATATGCTAACATTCTGAACATAATTTCAAATAAAGAAATATTAAACATTCATATTTTCAGTCTTTATTACCAGTTGTCTCTTCAGAATAAAAATAAACATAACTAATTCAGAGGCTACAAAATTAAATGTTTTACAATGCCAGCACATTTGCTGTCCTTATGCATAGTAGGGCTCTATTCTGAAGTCATTTCTTTACAAACAAGTGCCCTATTTGTAGGAAAATTCAACAGGCAAAAACATGCAAACTAGAGACAGTTGGTGCCATAGTTATTGTTTGCTGTGTTAAGTAATGTGTTAGATTCCAGAATCCACTATTAATCTACTTTGCCCTGAACTTTACCTGAAGTGAGATGCATTTTTTGCTACATCACCAAGAATAGCCAGAGAACGAAGGAAGAAACTCGCAAGAAGTGCCACTTTCTCCGAACAGTTAAGACCAGAATTGTGGACATTGAGTGAAACAGTAATTAAACAAGATGCCCACATGTCTCTGCTCTCAACAAATGCAGTCCCAGCACTCCTGTGTGTGGTTAAGTGATCCTGTGAGTTAAGTAGATGGAGTATCTGGTAGAGCACAGGGTTTTTCAGGTCAGGGGAAGATGCTCCACTCACGAATTGAACATCTTCCCTGCCAAAATCCAAGCAGCATCCAGCTAGAGTGAAGATATTCTCATCTGTCCTGTGCCAGGATTCCCAAGGTCTACCCACTTTCCTGGGGCACACATGTGTCCACAGATTCTCACTTGGAAAGCCTTTTCAGAATTATCCTGGCTAGAACAAAACACCAGCAAGTTTTTGGAAGATTCTGTGAATTTATTAAGAGATAATTCATATTCATAGTGGATTAATGCCCATTATAAAGAGTTTACTGAGTTGTATGGACAGGATAGGTAATCTGGTTGGTCAAGGTTTTCTTTTTAGATGCAATGCCAGAGAAGGTAGAATAGAATTCTGAGCTTATGAAATGCAGTGGTGCATTTTCTTGTTCATTCAGCATAGGCAGGATGTCAGCAGTTGGATCTCAGATTTTTTTTTAATTATCTGAAAATAATTCCATCTGCCTTGAAAGAGACAACAGTGTGCTCTCTCTTCAACTATATTTATGGTGGTTACAGTGTCCCAGGATCATATGTTCCCTTTTTGCAACCTGACAAGCCAAGTCAGTGGAGAAGGCAGATTCACTTAACAACTGTTACCAACTCAACAGCAGTGATTCACTTAACAATGCAGCAAGAAAGGTTATAAAATGGGGCAAAACTCACTTAACACTCTCGCTTAGCATCAGAAATTGGTTGTAAGTCAAGGACTATCTCTAGACCATTTACGGTTAATTCTACCAAGAATTTTACCTTGGTAGACAATTTTCAGCAAATTTCAATAAGTGGTCTTACAAAAAGGAAGCAATGGGTTGCAAAAAGTTATTACCATTTGTCTTAATTATCCATTTCCTTTTATTTTCAGGCCTTGAAATCTATTTTCAATGGGTGAACACTTATTAGAAATTCTGGGTATAACATCATGCCACTTTCAAGACAGTGAAAGATGAAACTATATTATGGTTTCAGTAAATTTAAGACTTTAATTAAACATTGGGACTGGGATTCCCTTCTAATTCTTTAGCAAAACTTTGGTGCTCTTCCAGGCTCCAAAATTCTTTTAGAAGAAACTGTGGATTAATTTTAATTACCAAAGGCTACATCTTGGTAGGGGAACATAGCATTAATTCAACCTATCTTTCCTGAACTCTGCATTAATAAGATAGCAAAGGAGAAAGATAAGGAAAATAAGGTAAATGGGAATGGTTTCTGTAAATATTACTGAATGTTATAACTGTCCCACTTGATGGAGAAAACAAATTCACGATCAGAGTAGAAATGTATCTCTGTAGCAACTAATAGCTACACGGTAAAAAGAAAATATCCAATTTTTGCAACAGTTTATCATGGACTGCAGTGGCTCCCAAGCAGTACTGTAACGTTGTAATACCCCGTTCCTCCTGCGATTATCCACTTTATTATTTGAAGGATGTCTTTGGGCATAAACGCGAGCACTAATAACAGCAGCGATCGATAAGGATCAGCTCAGTAACTGACTCCGATTGAACGGATCACAATGAAAGGGTTAGCGGGATGACTTTCTGAATCAGTTTCGATTGTAGTCACGGGATATCAAAGGTTGACCTGGAAGCAAAACCGAAATGCATCCAAAAATAAATGTTAGCCGACGCCACCCGCACTGTCGCAGCAGAAGGCAGCCCTCTGGAGCCGCTTCCCCCCGAGGGCTGCCATGGCCGCAATCTCAGTCTTGACTTGCCCTCCACGTGGCTCCACATCCTCGGCTTCCTCCCATTCAAAGGCATCGTAGCGGGAAGAGTGGGAGGAAGGCCTCTGGGGGAGCAGGAGGGATCGAAGGCAAACGCAGCCGTCCGGCACAGACCGCCTCTCTTCGTCGGGCCCGCCAATGGCGCCCAGCGGGCGGAGCTTCCCGAGCCGGCCATTTAGCTCCCCAGCAGAAGCAGCCCTTCCTTTTCGGTGTCTGGCGCCGCGGCCGCAACAACAGAGCGCCCCGTTTCCCAGCCCCACCCTTCAGTACCACCCGGCAACTCCGATCTACCACTGCAGCCATGGCAGACCAAGCCATCTCCTTCGCCAAGGACTTCCTGGCGGGCGGCGTGGCGGCGGCCATCAGCAAAACGGCCGTGGCTCCCATTGAGCGGGTCAAGCTCTTGCTTCAGGTCAGGCCCGCCGAGCGCGTGGCGAGGGGAGGGTGATCCGGGAGGGAGGAATCGCCGTCCCTCCACGACCCTCGGCTATTGAGGTGGGGGGAGACGGAGCGGCTCTACTGTAGGGACAACGGAGGCACCGCTCGCTGCGCGTGGCTCCCGCTCTAGACGCTGTCAAACCGGCTCCCTCTTGGAGACTTTGAATCGCGTGACCGGAGGAGGTAGCCGGGACGGGTGGGAAGTGGGTAGCGGGATCCTGGCGGGGAGGGCGTCGGCTCTCAATCGCATCCGCCCCCCTGCTCGGTTTCCCGCTGGGACTCCTTTGAGTCGGAAGAAAGGGCGGGAACAAGAGAGAGAGGTTGAACGAAGGAAAGAAGTGGGAAGCGGCCGCCATTTTTCTTCCGGCGACGTGTCTTTGATTGACAGGGCGGCGGACGCATTAGGTCCCTAGT